GGAGAGCGAGCCTGAGCTGAGGCAGCTGGCCGCGGGCGCCGACCCCGACCTCCTCCCGGAGCCGGTCATTCGCGTGCAGCCGCCGTCCCCTCGCCTGTCCAGCCTGGACTCGAACTCCAGTCCCGAGGAAGTGCAGCTCCAGCCAGCCGCTTCCAAGCGATACACTTTCAGGATGAATGGAGATGCTCAGGAAGAGCCCGGGAAATCAGGAGAGAGAGGGGCTGGGCCTCACGTGCCTGAGGACAGTTGCGGGGGTCCCGCCGGAGGCCCGGGTGCGGCTCCCGATGATGTAAGCAGGGGTGCCGGTCAGACACAGTTCTGTGCGGGCCATGGGTGTGCGGCGGGCAGCCCCCAAAGCTTGGACCCCTGTGGCCCCCCCAGCGCTGACGCCAGTGAGGGGCTGGTCACCTCCGAGGGGCCGGCAGCCCTGTGGGCCCCTGGCGAGAGGGACTCGGGGGAAGAGCTCCACGTTTCTCCAGTGGCATCTCCACACACCGATGGCCCCAGTGGAGGCTCTTCATATTTGTCCCCTGCGCCTGAGTGTCCAGCCTCTGAAGGAAAAGGGTCAGATGGAGCCGTCATTTCTACCTCTTCCCCGACAGACGGGGCCACAGAAACGGACCACGCCTCTGAGAGCTCCCCGAAGGGCAGCCCCGCCCTCGGCCCATCCATCACGACACAGATGCGCAGACCATCCGTGGATGTCCCTGGGCCTGACCCCCCCGAGACCGAGGGAGTCCATGATCTCCAGGTCGTAAGCCCATATGAAAACGTTCCTCCCCAGTCTTTCTTCTCCAGCAAAGAAAGCAAAGCCCAGACGGATGCAGGACACGGAAGTTCTCACTCTTCTGACACGTGTGCCGTGATAGGCACGTCCTCTGTCGGTGGCGGGGAGGGGGCCTGCTCCCCTAGGGGAACCGTTTCAAGCAAAGAATTGAGTTTTGAGAGCCAGGAAGTAGAACCCACACAGGACAGTGCCCTGTGGGGGGTGCGGACGGATGGCGCCCCTGCCTCCCCGCGGCCCGCTCCGCCCAGTTGCTCGGCAGGCGCGGGCGAGCGCGTGAGCCAGGTCGTCATCACCACCGCCGAGGCGGGTCCCGGCTCCTGGAGCGAGATCCGCGAGGACGACGCGGCCTTTGAGGCCCGTGTGAAGGAGGAGGAACAGAAGGTGTTTGGTTTGATGGCGGACAGACGGTCGCAGGGCACCACCCCGGACACCACTCCTGCTCGAACCCCCACCGAAGAGGGGACCCCGACCAGTGAGCAGAACCCGTTTCTCTTCCAGGAGGGCAAGTTGTTCGAGATGACCCGAAGCGGTGCCATCGATATGACCAAAAGGTCCTATGCAGATGAGAGTTTTCACTTTTTCCAAATTGGGCAAGAATCCGGGGAAGAGACCATCTCTGAGGCCGTGACTGGAGGGGGTGCTGCTGCTGAGGCCTCAGGGCCGGAGACACCGGCTCAGACACTGGCACGCTCAGAACCAAAAGACGCAGGCGAGGCCAACGTGCTCCCCGATGACCTGAGTGAGGAAGGAGGGGGAACCCCAGCTTCAGAAGGTCACCTTTGCTCCCAGGCAGGGCTCCCGGCCTCTGTGGACATGGCTGGAGCAGAGGCTGCTTCCGTGGGCACCGAGGACGTGCCCCCGACGCACAGGGGCACCGTGCCTCCTGCATCCAGCGTGAGGCAGACGGCCAGCCCCCCCAGCCCTGAACCTGCCGTCCAGGTTCAGCTGGACTTCTGCTCCGTCACTAGGTCCGTATATTCAGATCAGGATGACAATTCTCCTGGCTCTACCCCAGAGGAACAGAAATCAGTCATTGAGATCCCCACCGCGCTCTCGGAGAGCGCACCTCCTTCCGAGAGCAAGTCTGAGGCCCAGGTCAGGACCAGGACCCCCGCCACCCCCACCCCGGCCCCGGAGGAGGAGAGTCTGCTGCCCAGCCCAGATGAGGACAGGAGGGAGCAGGAGATGAAGCCAAAGTCTAAGATCCCCGTGAAAACGTCCCTCCAAGGAACCGGGCAGCAGCCTTTGCGTATGGACTCATCCCTGCAGAAGACAGGGGCTCCCCGGGGACAGGATGTGCCAGGCAGAGCAGCAGGTGACCGAAGCAAGTCTGAGTCCGATGCCAGTCCTTTGGACTCAAAGACCAGATGTGCAGCGAAACCTCGAAGCTGTGCTGAGCCAGAAGCAGAAAATGGGGAGGGGGCAGAGGAGCTCCCGCTTGAATCCGAGCAAGCGGCCGCGAGACCCAAGCCATTTGCCTCCCGCCTGCCAGTGAAGAGCAGGGGGGGCCCGTCTTCCTGCAGGGGGCCCCCGAGCCCCACCCGGGAAAGCAGGGAGCACTTCTTTGACCTTTACAGGGACTCCATAGAATTCTTTGAGGAGATTAGCGATGAGGCGTCCAAGTTAGTGGACAGGCTCACCCAGTCAGAGAGGGAGCAGGAGGCAGCCTCAGACGACGAGAGCAGTAGTGCCCTGGAAGTCTCGGTGATTGAGAACCTGCCACCTGTTGAGACCGAGCACTCAGTGCCCGAGGACATCTTTGACACGAGGCCCATCTGGGATGAGTCCATTGAGACTCTGATTGAGCGCATCCCCGATGAGAACGGCCTCGGCCGTGCTGAAGGTACTGCTGCCGGGACTCCCGGGCCCGCATGTCATGACCCCGTGTAGCTCTGTCGTCTGTTCCGTTGGGTGGCCCGTGCCTCCTTTCGCTAAGCTTTCTGTAGTGCTCCTGTGTTTGTGTAAGTCCTCCTGTTGTGTGCTTTCTCTGTGCACTCTTGTCTGTGAAAACAATCTCAAGATTGAGCAATGAGAACGCGGCGGAAACACGAGCACACCGGCCGCGGCCCCCTGGCTGCGCCGGCCACTGCGCGTGAGGCCAGCCGCGGGGAGTTCTGTTGTCCTGCAGGCGGGCCGGCCTCCAGCAAGCACGCCTGCCTTTGCACTGCAGCGTTTGGGGTCTCGTTTTATATTATGAGGATTCTTTGCTTTTTCTTACCTTTCTGTACTTGAAAATAATTTACACTTAATTTTGTAATCATTAGGAAGCCAATTCGCTCAAGAAGATTTCATATATCATGAAATTCCAATTCTGTGGATCTGTTTTTGATTCAGAAAGGTTGGATTTCAGATGCTGCTGGTAACACTTTAACAAACGAGCCTAAGGTAAAATGTGCTGCTTCTGACGTGGCCGGTGAGGGGGGAAGGCCCCCGATCGATGCAGCAGACAACAAAACTCGCCCTTTGCATGGTGTAAGTTGACTGCGAGGGGACAATGGCTCTGAGCGGTAGACATGGAAACCATAGATGGCTCCAGGAGGCATCGTCTGAGCTTCCGGTATCTCTCCAATAAAGACTGTTATTCTTAAATTTGAGTTATAGAAGATGTCACAATACCATGATGTAAAAAGCTGCCCATCAATTAATGGGGGTTAAACATGAACGAAAATCATACTTTGTGGAGGTAATAATATAAGAGCTTACATCCTGGTGAGCAGACAAAAACTTTTCCCCAAGACGCATACTAATACAGCATACACCTGCAAACATGTTCCTCCCCTCCACTCTTCTAGGGTGACCAGGCCAAGGCGAGTGTTGTTTTTGACCCCACTGAAAAAATCCAATATGGTCCGCTCAGCCCGCCGTCTCGGTCTCGTGGGAACCTTGGATGGGAAGGGCCCCGGGTGCCCCTGCCGTGCGGGGAGGCCCTAACGCATCGCTCACGCCTGCAGCCCGGTTACGAGTTTCCTGGTGTTCGACCAGGGAGATTGTTGTTTTCTGGTGGGCAGTGTTCTCGCAGATAATTTGGAAGGGAAGTCTGAATATTGCTAGAATCACAACTCACAGAATTCTGTGCAGGGCTGGTCTTGATTGAAGAGACGTGGAAGTGCATGGTTTTCATGGTTTCTATTAGGTTAATTCCTCATTCCATTCCCCGAACCAGGCAAACACAATTTCACATGATTTAACGTGTAATAGCTCAGTTGGCTGTCATTGGATATCTGGACAAGGGACTTCCCTTCTGTGGACGGTCAGTCCTGGGGTCGTCCCTGTTGTAGACAGTGTGGCCGTTCTGTTCTTGAACTTCTGTAGGTCAGCAGGATGCGCAGGCGCGGATGGAGGAGCGGCTGGCCTACATCGCCGATCACCTCGGCTTCAGCTGGACAGGTAAAACGAGTGGCCCACTTTCAACAGAGCCTTCTTGGTCTGAATGACATAGTTGTATCAGCAAAGTGTCGTCGACAATTAGAAAGGTCTTTTTTTCCTTCCCTTGATCACGAGGAACAGTGAAAATATAATAAACCACAGGTTAGAAAACCCGGGCTCTTGTGAACTCGCCCTGTGAACCAGGGCGGCCCTTTTACCGTCCCTGGGATTTAGGGCACTAGAAGGTTAGATTGGGAGATTCTAAGAATATACCAGCCCCCACCTCCCTCCTTTGGGAGCTGTGGGTACCTAAACTTTGGGGAGATTGCTGATTTTCAAAACCATTGTTAGATGTTGTCATAACAGTTAATTTGAGATTTACCCAGGGCTCTTCTTTTAGACACTTTCAGTTTCTTCATCATCAGTGGTGCTGACATTTGCTTTAGATGAGTGTCGAAATCGATACAAGTAAGAGGCACTAATTCTCTGAGAAGCGGGATGCTTGAGCATAGAAATTATAATACATGTTAAATAGCTTATTAAGGAAACGTGAACTCTAAGGTCAGTATTATTTACTTACAAATCCTGATTTACCTCTCGCCGTGCCCGGACTTTAACATAGGAAAGCCAGATGGTCTGTCTCTGGCTTCCTTCAGTTTCTTTTATTTTTTGTCTGACTTCCTTTTATATCACCTGTGACTGCTTTATTGAAACAGATGGTATAAAATTAATATTTGCCTCCTTTAAGTCTCTTAAAGATTTGATGGTGAGTAGGAGTCCAAAACACCCTTAGCAAAGGTCGTCGGTAAAGTGGAAGAAGTGGCCGGAGGCAGGAGGGATGGCCACTGTCTTTAAAAGCTGATTTACTTAATTGAGGAATTAAGGGGAAAGAGGACGGCATATACCCCTGGCTGACGTACTGAATGGGTAACGTTCAGGATCACTTCATTTCGTTTCTTAACCGCGTATTTATGTACGTGTGTTAAATGGAATATCTTTAGACTTATTGAAATGTAAGACCCTGCATCCATGCACAGCTGTGTACACTGGTCTCTCACCTGCATCGGGTCGGTCCCCTGGCCTCAGGCCTGAAAGGCAGCTGCCGACTTCCTCACATTTTCTGAAAAAACTGGGCAGTGCTCACATCTATGCCTATTACTTAAAAATAAAATGTTACTTAATATTTCTCATAAATATTCTATCATCATAGATGTATCTGGCTCATTCTTTTAAATGGCTGTTTAGTTCGGCTTGTGGAGGTGCCGTGGTTTTATCCATGGTCCTTGCTGATGGATGCGCAGTCGTGTCCTGGTACTGACAATAAATACTTGTGCGTTGGTGGATTTTTGTGAGTATATCTATAGGCACCTGCCTAGAAGGGGAGTTTCTGGGTAAAGGGTGTGTATATTTTTAATTTTGAAAGATATTGGCCAAGTGCCCTCCAAAGAGGACCCTCACCTGCACACTCCCCACGGCATATGGCGCCCGCGCAGAACCTGACGTGGAGCTTAAAGGAAACTTCTGTGGCGTCTTCCCTGGGCCAAGTGTTCTTAGACCCTTGTTCATATGACATCAAGTCAGAGGAAGGAACTTATCCGGCCTCCGTAATATAGCCACACTTGTATGTACCCAAGTAAGATACTGGAGATAGGAATTACAGGGCTTACGATGTCACCTGATGATGATTACGAGCAAGAAATGGCCTCTTCCTGCCGTTTCAGTGGTTTATTTTCCGTTGCATTGGCTGAGAGTGTAAGTCAGTACTGATGGTCTCTTCTGCATTTTGGAATTAAATGGGACTGAATTATACTTATTTCTCACCATAGCATCAAACCTATTTGCACTATGATGGTGACCAATCCTATGTATACTCAGTTTAAAGAAAAAGTCCAGAGCTAGTCTTAGAAGAACAAAGGTACATGAGAGTCACTGGTGGTGGGTCGAAACTAGTGACCCTGTCACTCCGCACGAGGACACCTCCTTCCAGAACCATGCAGGTGTGAGGCCCCCACTCTGAGGCTTCTGTGTTCACAGACTCGTATCTTCTCTTCCAGAATTAGCAAGAGAGCTGGACTTCACCGAGGAGCAGATCCATCAGATTCGGGTGGAGAATCCCAACTCCCTGCAGGACCAGAGCCACGCGCTGCTGAAGTACTGGCTGGAGCGGGACGGGAAACTCGCCACCGGTAGGCAGGGCTCCAGGAGGATGGGCTGCAGGTGCAGCCAGGTTGTGTCCGACACACGCTTTCCCATCCTCAGTCAAGCACACGACAGGTGCCTTCGGGCCGAGTGCGGCCGTCAGCCCCCGAGAACACGCGATGGCGTTTCTAAAGAATGCGTCTGCCTAAGATACCTGTGCCGCATTCCTGCGACCAGCGGGCGGGAGCCCTGCTGCTAGCGGGCACGATGTTAAAGTCATAGGTTTTCTAAATATTGACAGTGGATACAACTGCTTTAATTGCCCTGTTTATCGGTAGTGACTCCCTCCCATCCTTCCTGCTAAATAGCCCACGTGGGGAGGGTGAAGCAGATCTCTCCCAGTGCTCTGTGAGCGAGCGCCCAGCAGCAGCAACCCAAGCGCACGTCTCACCCTCGGCTGGCCTCGGGGTGCGTTTCCCGGGCCATCTGAAGCTCCAGCCAGAAGCTTTTTCACATCAGTCTGTGTCCACCTGCCACCTCTTGCCGTCTAGGTGCAATTGCAGGCTCTCGCCAAGAAAAATAGAGGGCACCAGTTAGACTTAAACTTCAGGTAGTCAGTGAATACTTTCTTTGTGTAAGTATATCCCATGCAATGTGTGGGATAGGCTTATACTGAAAGGTCTGTTTCGCCCGACATTCAGAACTGAAGGGCCCGCCTGTGATCTAGGTCTGCTGTGGGGCTGTGCCGTGCTGGGCCATGCTTTCCTGCTTCTCTCTTATTTAAGTCTTTTTTGCTTATTTTTACAAATACCCTTATTTGCACTTTAGTTGTTTCCTGTACAAATATCAGAATTTTAGTGAGGCAGCTAAGTGGAATGTTTTTGAAAGAATACCCCACATAAACCCTTTTTCTCTCATGTCCTAGACACCAGTCTCATTGAGTGTCTTACCAAGGTCAACCGAATGGATATTGTTCATCTCATGGAGACCAGCACAGAGCCTCTTCTGGAGCGTGCCAGTCACAGCTACACCGAGATAGAGCAGACCATCACACTGGACCACAGCGAAGGTCAGAGTGTGTGTGTGTGTGTGTGTGTGTGTGTGTGTGTGTGACAACTACACCAAGATGGAGCACACCATCACACTGGACTGGAGCGTGTGTGTGTGTGTATGTTGGTTGGTCACAGCTACGCCGAGATGGAGCACACCATCACACTGGACTGGAGCGTGTGTGTGTGTGTATGTTGATTGGTCACAGCTACGCCGAGATGGAGCAGACCATCACACTGGACCGCAGCGTGTGTGTGTGTGTGTGTCGGTCGGTCACAACTACACCGAGATGGAGCAGACCATCACACTGGACCACAGCGTGTGTGTGTGTGTGTGTGTGTGTCACAACTACACCAAGATGGAGCACACCATCACACTGGACTGCAGCGTCTGTGTG